GAAAGGATGGATGATATTCACCATCAAGTGCATTCAAACTTGAAAATGTCTACTGATTCGATGAAGCTATGTTATGATAAGAGATCTACTGAAGTTAACTTTGTACCAGGAGACAAGGTGTGGTTGTATAATCCCAGGAAGACCAAAGGGAAGTCTCCTAAGTTGTCTTCCGCATGGGAAGGCCCATATGACATAGTGGATCGTCTCTCAGATGTGACTTTCCGGATAAAATGTGGTCGGCGAGGTAAGCCAAAGGTGGCGCATGCCAACAGGCTTTAGCATTATCACAGTCCAGGACATTTCAGTTGGGACGAAGTGAACGTCAGAACAAATGACGCTGCTGAAGACGTGTCACCTGAAAAAGCCACTGTCGAAGAAGGAACTCTACTCGGTTTTGAGAAGGGAAACAGCGAAGTCCTTGATGAAGTTACTACCACTGCTGTGACTGTTACCAATGATAGGACGTTTCCTGATGAAGCAGAAGCCAACGAGATGGAGACCAGTAGGGAAGAAGATACGTCCCGTAAAATTAAGAGACTTTGTTGAATTTTAATTTTGTGTCTGTAAATTCTTTACATTTAATTAAGTTATTGTTAATTGTTTATTGGTTTAATGTATGTGGCTATTGTTCGTCCCGAACAATACTGAGGAAGGGGCAGTGTTACGACAGCGGAGGTCACGTGACGCTAGTAACACGTCATGCACTTCTAGAACGTTCATAAAACCTCGAGAGGCTACTAGATATGCGGTAATCTTGTATATAAGCCGCCAAGAACTGACGGCAACAATGGTAATTGAAATGCGGACAGAGAGAGACGTATTGTTGAGTCGAGAATGTGAGACGTTCGTTGTGAATTATAGCATTTGTTATAGCGCGACTGTGGAAATTAAGTGTATTACAAAGTTGTATTCAGAAAGAATAAACCAGTTTTATTTAAGAAAGTACTTTTATCGCTAAAGTTTCTTCGGAAAGAAATTATACAGAAAATTAACTAACAACGGAGGTGTAACAATATTGAATATTTTATATGCTGAAATACCTTTATAATTTTGTGGTTTTGCAAATACAAAAAAAAATCACTTGACAAATTTAAACATCAAAAATTAAGTTTCTCAGTACTTATAACAAAAAAAATGCTTTCCCATACTTTGCAGTTGTTACTTTTTTACTCACCACTTTCAAACAAAGATATAAACTCAAGTTACATCTTATAATTTCCCACGCTGTAATTTGTAACTTGGTGTTATTATTTGTGCTGAAATTTCAGCTGCTTTCTTTAGGTCTGATCTTTTTAAGCATATCTACTATCTATATGTATATATATACCCATATAATACGTAATAATACATGTACAAAATTACAGTAAAAGAAGTTTGTGATATACAGAGGTATAATACACAAGTATACTATATATCATAAACTTTTTTTACTGTACTTTTGTACACGTATTGTTGCGTATTATATGGGTATATGTATACATATAGATAGCAGGTATGCTTAGAAAATCAGGCCTAAAAAAAGCAGCTGAAAGTACAGCACAAATGATAACATCGAGTTACACATTGCAGCGTGGGAACTATAAGATGTAACTTGGGTTTATGTCGCCTGCCTTTGTTTGAAAGTGGCGAGTAAAAATGTAACAGTTGCCAAGTATAGCAAAGCTTTTTTTTATAAGTACTGAGAGACTTATAAATGCTGATAGTGAAGTGTTAAATAGGCATATGAAACGCATTCTTTGAAATTTTTCTTGCTTGTTTGAAGTTAAGCACAAAGCTACACAATTGGCTATTTATGCTCTGCCCATCATGGGTATTGAAACCCGGTTTCTAGCGTTGTAAGTCTGTAGACGTATCGCTGTGCCACTGGGGGACATTCTTGTAGAAACATATACTTATAACTTTATGCATTTGTATAAAGATGTGTGTAAATAGTGTCATCATTTATACAAAATTTGGAATAAAAATTGATTCAAAAAGTAAAATGTAAAAAATCACGACAGTTTTATGAATTAATTCAACAAAAATGTATTTGGCCTGCAAATAGGTGTTGGCTTGCTTATATGCAAAAAGCTACAAATTGAAAGCTACAAATGGGCAATCTGTGCTGTGCCCATCGCAGGAATAGAAATACAATTTTTAACAACATAAGCTCCCAGTCTTTATGCTGAGGTATCTGAGAGGGAGGAGTCAAACGTGTTTCTCACTATTTTTTTACTAAAAGGGAAAGTGAAAAGTTTAGTTTGGAGAGAAGCGAAAATCGTTGCAACATCTATTTATAGAGGTATTTGCCTGCTACGTAATAAGAAAGAATTAATACTTTAAAAGCTAAGTTGATAATGATTTTTAGTATATATATATATATATATTGTTACGACAGCGGAAGTCATGTGACCCTA